ATAAATGCTAATATTCTAACAATATACATCAATTAATTTAATGACATAATATATGCCATTGCATTAATCTAAAATTTCACCTCAAATTTTTATTTTTCCTATCATTACTCCAGCAATTTGGGTTGGGATGCACTCCTGGCTTTGCAGGACTGCAGGCCCCATTGTGATCGTATAAAAAGGCAGACAACTTCGCCTTAATGCAATATGAAAAATAAATTGAAACTTAATGCGACTGGCTAGTCTTCATCCTGATAAACTTTGGTTTGAAATCCTAACAAGCAGATTTGACTCTAGTCGTGGTCAATCCAGCTGGTTCTAATTTGGGTAAGTTTAAATCGATCGGCTCGCATGTACATCTTTTATAATTTTAAATTTTTGGTAAGTTGATTTCATAAATTTAAAATTTTCAATAACAACATAAGAAAAAAGTTCAATAACTTGCTTTTAAAATTAAAATCTAAATCCCAAGGCTACCTATCACAATACATGGTTCCGATGGCTGAAAAAAAAGAGAGTTATACATCACAAAGCTTTTTGTTTTTTTTTTTTTTTCCTTATGATAAAATATATAATTATATTAATAATTAAAATAATTACAATACAAATTATGTCTTACCATATATAGATTATGCGGGGAAATATAAAGTACACTAGAGAGAAAGCATTTCTTGATATTAAATAACTCAATATAAAGACGACAGAGTCATAAGAACAGACCAACACAATGCTTCAAAAAGAAAGCAAAATTCAAGAGCTGGCTTTCATTGTGTTGGCAATGTCGATAACAAATCTGTATTTGACATCTGCTTTCAACAGGCGCCCCATAGCAGTGTTCACATAGTCGATTGGTATAACTTCAATGTCTGCAGTAATGTTGTGTTTGGCAGCAAAATCAACCATCTCTTGTGTCTCCTTCATTCCTCCGATGCAACTTCCACCCACTAACTTCCTCCCTGTCATGCACAATATATGTCAGATTCTTGTTTCAAAACTCTCACTCACATATAGATCAAAGCGCCATCGCAAATTCCTCTAATAGTTTCTGCAAAGTGGAGTCAATTGATTTCTAAATGTACTTACCCAACAGCAAAGGAAAGACGGGTAGTTCAAGCGGCTTCTCCGGAGCACCAACCAGCACAAGCTTTCCATGAGACTTCAAGAGACCAATCAATGGGAGCAGAGGGTGATGTGCAGATACTGTATCTATGATACCGTCCATGGTGCCCATGGCACCCTATATCACAAATATAATGGCATTAATTAGAATCATAACACACGCAATAAGTCAATAACACAGATTAGTTTCTGATCAACATCTTAAAGATCAAGTACCTCTAGCTCATCTTGGTTACGGCTGATCAAAAATGCATCAGCACCAAGGCTTTCAATAGCTTCATTTTTCTTGTTAGGAGAGGTGCTGATCACGGTCACCTTCGCCCCCATAGCCTTAGCAAATTTCACTGCTACATGGCCTAGCCCACCTAGGCCAACCACACCTACATGTGCACCAGGCCTATCAAGTCCATAGTATCTCAATGGACTAAACACAGTGATCCCAGCACAAAGAAGGGGAGCAGCAGCATCAAGCGGTAGGTTATCTGGAATGCGAACTATAAAGTGCTCCTCCACAACCATGGTATCAGAATAACCTCCATATGTCATGGTCCCATCATGGTACTTGGAACCATAGGTCAATATCATTTTAGGGCAGTAGTTCTCAACATTGTTTGCGCAATTGTCGCAGGAGTGGCAGGATCCAACCATACACCCAACTCCTACTCTATCTCCAACTTTGAACTTGGTCACATTGCTTCCAACCTCTGTCACTTCACCAACAATCTCATGTCTGCATTTTGCAATTTCAGTTGTTTATATGGATGTCAAATTTGATATCCAAATCAAAATTTATAATTAAAAGTTGCTGAGTTACTTCTATTTTGAAGACTAATTAGGATTTAACAAGTTAACTAGGAAAATGGAATTATGAAAACTTACCCAGGTACAACAGGATACACTGTGTGGCCCCATTCATTCTTCACCATGTGAAGATCAGAGTGGCAAATCCCACAGTACAGGACCTTGAAAGCCACGTCTTTCTCTCCGGTTGCCCTGCAAAATGCATACAAAAATTGGGATTAAGAAAATCCCGAATTTATTCTGCAGAAAATGAAGCAGTTGAAATGGAGCATGGATAGAACCTTCTGGAGAAATTGAAAGGAGAGAGGACGCCGGAAGCGTCTCTAGCAGCCCAACCGAAAGCCTTCCTGGGGTGCTCCGCCGAAGACATGCTACCCTTTATGTCGAATCTCTGCCGAGTGCTGATGTACACAGATCAAGGAAGATACGCAGAATGCAGTAAATGTGTTCGAGGTAGCTAGTAATGGATGTGTGAGAGCGTTACGGTAGCAGAGAATTTATAAGGAAGGCGAAACTAAGTCGGTTGACCTTGCGCAAATGGATGGCCGTCGGGAAGAGTTCGGTTACGTAGATGGTGAGCTCAATGGTTGGTGACGTAGATGGTGAGCTCAATGGGTTTATTTATTCTTAAAACTCTCTGCTATGGGTCTATTAAAAATTTTACGTCACCAAATAGAAGTTATTCTTTTAAATGAAAGAATCTTGAGTTTTGGGATCTAAATGCTCATCATACAAAATATGGAGGACCAGATTTACTATTTTACCGCTGAAGAAGTTGCAAAAGAGGACAGAAACCCGACACGGGTGTGGTGTCGACACATAAATTTGGTGTCCACACCATACGGCAAGCATCCACAATCAAAGTTTCTGTTTCTTACTTTGTGTCACGAGAGTTTCTTATAAATTTATGCCTTTTAAGTTAAAATATTTATTGGTTTGGGGTACCCTTATAATCCATTTTTTAATAAATATTATTTTTTATTGTTAAAAAAAAAAATAGAAGTTATTCTTTTAATGTTCTGCACAAAAGTTAAACTTATATCAAATAGAAATTAAAATTTTGTTCAATAACTTATACTTGACATCAAATAATGCCGATAAAAAAAAAGAGAAAAAAAAGAACTTTCATTCAAATAATCATGGATTTCCCACAGTGCCAAACAATTACAACTATGTTTTAGTATGTTTGTAACTTTCAAGTTTGATTTTCATAAAGTTTACAATTACTGAAAACTAAAATTGAAAATTGAAAACTAACAATTAATTATGCTACAAAGAAGAGAAATTTCAGAGACATGGGAATAAGATAATAATTAGCATATTCTCTGGTTCAACACATTATACAATATATTTCGATTCAACCATTAAATTTTATTTTTAAAAATTTTTCAGTTATGAATTCAAATTTGAAAGTAATAGTTTTGTAATGAGCGTGTTGTATAATATATTGAATTAGAATGTGTACTAATTATTTTCCATGAAAATATCTTATTTAGGTCATTGTTTCAATATTAGCCAGCTTCATGATGGAGATGCCAAATTAAGGGTTTTTCTGAAGCCTAGGAACAATAGCATGCAGAAAGGCTATAGATGCCATCAAAGATTGTGTTATTGAGGAATTAGGGTTTGTTAGTTTGTTGAAAATAATGGAATGGGGAAAATATATTTGCAACTCTAGTTCTTTTCTTCATCAAGAAATTTTCATTACAGCTTAGAAAGCATTGTCCTTAGATGTGATTATCTATTATGATGGAGTTTATTTTATTAAAAAAAGAAAAAGGAAAAACGAAGAAGACGATTACAGGGGAATGATGGGATAGTAATTTGCTGGGTTTGGGCCCAGGACTGGCTCTAGGGAATACCAAGCCTTAAGGCTTGACTGGTTCACTATTGGGCCCTGTTAGGCTTAGGAACGCGGTGTATGAACAGGGACATGAGCACTAGGCCTCGTTGAGAGAGAATCAGTATTAACAATGGGCCGGGGCATTCTTATCTGTTGAATTTCTATGTTGGATCATAACCCAGAATGTTCTTTTGTTCCCACCCCCCCCCCCAAAAAAAGGATCATAACCCAGAAGTTTGTTTACTGTCCAGATTGGTTGATGTTCGGCCTTTTGGGTCTATAATTGGGCCCAAAGCTCAAAGGCAATAATAACTAAAACATGCTAATAAAAGGGTCACAACGAAAAAAAAAAAAAAAAAAGTGGTCTCTTAATTGGGCCGAAGTGAATTTTAATAATTCGAGACTCAAGGAGATGGCTATGAATTGTTAAAAGTACAATCCTACCAATTCTCAAAATGAGTATTTATAATTATATATATTAAACACTATATTTTAAAAACAAAAAACTTACATCAAAAAAGAAAAAAAAAACTTAGTATATTAATCCTACAAAAATAGCACTAATACTTTAGTTACAATACTTTTTTTTATATTATTTTGTATAATATAGTATGACATCAAACAAATTGATACATACTGATTTATGTATTTATTGAATAAAAACACTCAATCACTTGATTACTTGTTTAATGTTACCTTTATTGTAAGAAAAAACATTCTACTAACTAATAATTTTTAATAAAGTAGTGTCTGCGCATAAGATATAAATGCTTGCAAATTTCCATCCATAGATTCTATCTGATCCTTACATGGTAACTTGTCTCCCCTAGCTGGAGGTCTTCCACAAATATTCCCAGCTATTCCCTAGCTTTCATCATGTTATCTCCTAAATAAACACACAAGTTGCTGCCAAATTATATAATATATATATAGCTTGATCATATTATAGAATATACAAACAGAACACAAGGACATGTACAATTGACTTGTTTTGTCAGGTGCCATAATTCCTTGGTTATAGCCATCCACTTCTAGAGCAGAAAAAAGTGTCAGCCTTGGAGGGGGTGTAGGAAAATGGGGTGAGCAAATGAAGCCCTAGCATGCTATACTCATATGCTCCACAAAAAAGATCAGCTCTTCCCGAAGGGAACGTGTCATGGCAACTGGAGAAGAAAGAAACAGAAAGTTGAACAAATCATGGAGCCTTTAAACACCTCCGATCAAAGGGAATATTTCCATGTTATTGTGTGTCAGTTGTTGCTCGCTAGGAGGACAAAAGTTCAGCACTTTCTTGCCCTAAACAGAGCCTACAAAGCTTGTTTCCAGTAGGGTTTCTACCGCACCCAATAACCACGAGACAGGGGATGGTGGCATGATTTGGGATGATGGAGTTGTTGGGGTCTTAAAAAAAATCGTACTAATATAATTAGATTAGGGGACAAAGAGAATGAGATGATATTAAGTTATGAACAATGGGGTGGTTGCCAAAAAGGGTAGGCATGTGAGAGGTATGATGCTCATAAATGATGTTGTCGTTTGAGCTTCCATATGCTTTTTTGTTTTTCTAATCTTCTATTATACTATAAAGGGAATGGCAGCTATGACCCTTCAGCTCTTGGTAGAGACATTGTTGAAACTTGATCATGACCTTATAGATATAAACATCCATTGCTTGTTTGGGTTGCTTATTTTCTACTAAGAACTTGCTCTAGAAATTTATGGACAAATGGGAAATGCTCCAAGAGTTTATGTGAATATGATAAAATAATCAGAAGATTGGCTTGGGGAAAGTATGACTGAATTTGAAAGACATACCTCAACAATATTCTTGTAGCATTTGAGGAATGGGGGGCTTTATTTTATAAAGATGAAACAGAACATAACACACGTTTCACCCTTTGGATTCTAACTTTTTTCTGCAAGATGCAAGATTTGAAATAATGAGGCCATGCCACAATAATGCTCAACCATAATGATAAACAGGATCAATGTACTTAATTAAGGAAAGTCACATGCATCAGGAAGTTTACAAATTTGCAGGCACAAATGCCATGGCATGGACCCCAGAAGACAATGGTGTGTCCTTGCTTGGGCGTCAAATGTGCATGCAACGCAAAAATCAGTCATGATATGATGAGGTTTACACAGAGTAAAGGGTACACAAGGACGGGAAACCTCAGCTCGGCATTTTCACGGTAAGATAGTGTGCATGTAAAAACAAGAACAGTGGGACTGAGGGAAGTGGAATGCTGATACCTCCCTCGTGCGCCCTGCAGAAATTGCGTTGTGATGCCTTAATAAGACAACTAGGCTCTTGTTTGTTTTGCTTTATAGGCTTATAGCATTAGCTGCCATATGCCCAGTACTTCTGTTCACAAGCCATAATAAGACCCACTTTTATGGGTCAGGATTTATTCGATTCACAAAAATTCGTTGTTTTTAAAACTTAATTTTGGACAAATATTATTCAAAATTTTTTTGAACAGTATGGAGCTTTTTCCGGAGAAAGCGGAAGGGAACTTGAGATTTGATTTTAAGTTTCGTTAGTCCTACACACGTTTTGCAAAGAATGATCAATATCTCACAAAGTGCAGGATAAATATTATTCAAATTTAAAAGAAAGTTAATAAAGAAAAAATATTATTTTTACAACTAACCTAAAAATTTAATTAGTTATAAATTTTTAAAAAATTATACCTTCATTTTGAAGTGATAGGTTCAAATCCCTTTTCCTTAAATTTATATATGTTAAAAAAAGAAAAAAGCGAAAATACTATTTTCAGAATTTAAAGGTC